TACTTTCTCTTAGTTCAATGAGAAGAAAGTTTTGAACTAATAGTGCTTAGACAAGATAACATGTCTGCATCTTATACTATGAATAACTACTATGAAGACAACAATATTCAATGCATTAATTATTGTAACTGTCCAACTAACCTGTTTTGAAACTGTCTTATTACTACTTCTTTCTCAATAAAATTAATATTGAAAATAAAATGTAGGGGCTGGGGAGATGGCGCAGTAGAATAAGTGCTTGCCTGGGAAGTGCAAGGGCCTAAGTTCAATCCCCGGTTCGGCCAAAAAAATAATAATAAAATGTGGAGTCTAGCAGGGGTGATGCCACTTGCCTATAAGCCCAGAAATACTCTGGGAGGCTAAGGCAGGAAGAACAGAAGCTCAAGCTCTGCCTGAGCCACTTAATGAAACCCCATCACACTAGGAACATAGCTCAGTACAGAGGCCCTGGACTCAAACCCTAGCGCCTAGGGAAAAAAAGGAAAAAGAAGTCGTATCTCAAACACAGGACAATTTCCAGGGCTTACGTGGACACACTTACCAGTCGCCTCGTAGAGGTACACCTCTGGCCAGCTGTCCCCATGGCAGCAAAGAGCGTTGATGGAACAACTAAGCTGAGGTCTGCATCCTCAAAAACTTAGACAAGAACAAACACATGCCCATCAGTTTGGTGAAGTGGGCAGACATGGTATTTGCTAACTGTTAGGAAAAGATGCCGTTAGAAGCAGGTAATGCCCAAACTATCAGAAAGTGAGCATGCTCTACATTCTCTTTGGGAAGAGGCCCACTTCTTTTTCTCACAGATGTTATACGACAACAGAGCAATGAGCTCTGTGATGCTGGGAGCAGCTGAAGCAGGACACTGGCTATATGTGTGAGGGCAGCACAAGGCCATGGTGTCGAGAGCAGTCAGGCCAGCTCAGTCTTGAGAAAAGCATTCTGCCAGGTCAATTTCAGCCATTAGTCACTGGGCAACCTTGTGTCTTGCGACACTAGCTTTACAAAAGTATAAGTAAACACCCCTAATGTTATTTTTGGGGGTCCTTTTCCTGTCAGGCAAACAGGCCTCCACCTGACCTCAGCTATTATCTCCTGTCTTTGTTTGCTGAATCTCGTGCTGTTTTCTCCCAGGAACCCCTGAAAGACCAACAAGTCCCTACACAATGACAGTTACACAAATACACAGATGATCTGAGGCTCTCAAACTGACCCTTCTGTCTTCCATCTCTCTTGGTTCTGACCACAGCATGTCTGCTCTGTATCCTTCCTGTGGGCTCACTTCCAGGCCATCATCCCTTCTGTCAACACTACTTGCTCTCAGTGTTCATTCAGTGACTACCTCACTGGGGCCACAGACCATAAAAGATGACAGTGTAGCCCTTGGAATGTCCCCCCACTTTACCCTGCCCCCCCCCTTTAAAGACAAGACTTCGCCATGTAATTCAGGTTGGCCTTGCACTCACTGTGTAGCCAGGCCAGCTCTGAGCTGTCAGTGATCCTCCCGTCTCAGCCTCTGTCATGCTGGGGTTACATGCATATATTCACCACCCCTAGCAAAATACCTCTACTTTCTGCTGTCGCTCCACATGACCTCACCCTCTACTTTATGGGAAAATATGGCACTTGCACTCTTCCTATATCCTCTGAGCATCAGCACAGTCACTCCAAACTCCTCTCAACTTTTATCTACTCCTCTTCCTCTTCTGCCTCAGGAACAAAATTGACAATCTTCACAAGGTTAATCCCCTCATTTATAT